GAGGGCACGTGATAACAGGCTCGTAGCGATAATATCTGTCCGCCAAACTTTTTATCACCTCAGAATTGTAACGTGAACCTGTTTCAGATGTCTTTCTCCAAAAAGCAAACCCTGGTCTCTTACGCGAGACAGTTATTATTGTTCTCCAAGAAAGAGCTACATTCTTCCTCCACGAGAAAGTTATTCTTTTCCTTCGTGAGAGAGCTACCCAATCTCTTCATGAGCGCGCTATTCGTTTTCTCTGCGAGCAGACTATTCCTCTTCTTCGCGAGAAAATTATTCTTTCCCCCCCATAAGAGAACTATTAGTCCCATACGTCGGACAGCTATTCTTTTTCGTTACAACAGTTAGGAAACACTGAGGTAAGATGTAGCGATTTGTCATCGAACCACGATTAGGTATACAGGGTATTCCATAATTATGTTAACACCCGGAAAGATGTTTTTCAGGTGATTCCTGAGGTAATTTAAAGTAACTTTTTCCTTAGCAAAAATGAGATTCGCGGTTTCGTCTACGAGTTATTAACGAAAAACAGCGACCAATGAGAGGCGAGCTCAATTGTTGCGCGGCGGCCGAGCCAACGAGCGGTCGAAGTCCAGTTCCGCAGATTGACTCGGCCGCCTAGCGCTCGTCGGCTGGGCCGCCTAGTGCCAGTCGAGCTCGCCTCTCATTGGTCAGCGTTTTTCGTCAATAACTCGTAAACAAAGCTGCGGACTACGTTTTAGCTAAGGAAAAAGTTACTTCAAATCATCATAGGTATCGGCTATTTCCGGGCCTTAGCATAGTTATGGGACACCCTGTACAAGCTTTCATACTAGAACATTAAATGGATATTTGACGTTATTAAGTCAGACGACGCTTTGTAACAATTAATATCCAAGTAATTAACAACAAAATTGAGAGTTGTTATACCGCATGGAGATAGTAACGCAATATTTTTTGTAATAAAATATATGTAAAAGTAAAATGTGTCAGTAAATAAAGAGAGGCAAAATAAAAGAAGAGAATATATATAAATAAAATTCTGTAAAATGTTACACTATTTTTATCTGCTTTGAGGCTATTCGATTTCACAATTCTAACAAACGTATAACTCATGTTGTTTCGTGCATTCTCCATGTACCCAATTATTACAGTTCATGCTCTGCACCCATTTTTCATTTGGCTAGCTGGAACCGTATGAGAGAGAATCGAAGCATACACGGCAATAATACTTCTTATCTTCTTCATCGTGACATTCTTCATTTCTGGTCTTGCTCCCGTTGTTTCCACGTTTTCCTTTCATGTTCGGATCACATGCCCTTGTGTTCTATTTTTTTTCCTTTGGATTTCTTTATGCTCTGCTGTACTCTTTTCTTTCTTACAAGTGCCAGCGGAAACAATTGACTTTCTTTTCTGTCCACCTCTATTTAAATCTTTTCAAGTTGGAACCTTCATTGTGTACGGTATAATATGCGGGGTGGCTAACCTAAAGGTAGCCACTTAGAATCTTTTCCGGTTACGACGACGTAGAAAATATTTTCTTTATAGCGTGCAAATACAATATTTCGAGTCTGTATTATTTTGTTCTGAAACGTTGATTTTTGCAAATTATTACACAGTTACCACTGAGAGTGTATACTTTGCTTTTCTCGTTGCAACTAACGTCGAAGTGCATTCAGAAGTTCTAACAGCATGAACTCCGCGCGACTAATAAAATTAAAGTCAAATAAGAAAACAGATTATCACGTGAAAAAGACAGTTCGAAAAAACTGTTACAACCGGATGAGATATTTAAATACCTTACTCGAGTGTGTAACTATGATGTAACTTTTTTGTACAGCTCAACTGTAATTTTGTAATAAAAATATTTGTTAACGATGACTATAATATATTTTGAATTATTTGCACACCCTTCTACGATTTCTTTACGAGACAAGTATTTTTGC